GGGGGGGAATTTTTCTTTTTAAAAATAATGAAGCTTAGAACATTTGCTTTTCATTTCAAGTGCTCTTCAGCACTGTCTCTCCCAATATACAAACCCACCACCACGTTTTCATTTTACCCCCACGCTCCCTGTCTCCTTGGTTAAGTGTTTCAGTCCCTTGTGTCCCCCACTGGCAACCCTCTGCTTGCTTCCTCTCCTCTATCCTTTGGCAGCTGTAATACATGGTGATCTTTTGGGAAAATAACTCAAATGAAGCCTCACCTTCCATGCCGAGCATCCTGACCTGGCAGGAAAGGCTCTGTCCCGGGGATACCTTCTGGTCTGTTCCTCTTCCCCAGTGTACGCTTTCCTGCCCACCTTGTTTTCTGTTCTCCTTTTATTAGAAATTACCAAGTGAATTTTATTAATGTGGGAATGGAACAGATGCTAAAAACTATCCCGGATTTTGTTTTTGTTTTAAATTTGGTGGTTCCTTCCCTTTCCTCCTTCTCCCATGCGTAAAAGGTTCTGTGTAACCTCCATTAAATTTGGTATAAAATCACTTGCCACAGCTGTGGTGTCAAGAAAATAAAATATATTGTTTCTTAAAAAAATTTTTATAAAAAGATGGAGAGAAGTGACACTAGAATTGATAAATGATAGTAACAGTAAGGGATAGTGGGTGATATATTTTGTTTTTTGGGTTATTTTGGGGACAGGGTCTCTATGCAGTTCAGGCTGGCCTTGAACTTGCAGCAATCCTCCTGCCTCAGCCTCCCAAGTGCTGGGATTATAGGCACATGCCACCACGCCTGGCCTATGTGATATAATTTGATGACAGATTCAGGGATAAGGAGCTCAGAGAGGAGAAAGGTGAATACACAGAAAATAGTAAGGACACCAGTACCATCACTAGGCCCAGTGGTACAGGATGATGGGAGAAAACACAGCCTGACTTGAGAGGTTGAAGTGAGAAGTATCCTCAGGAGACAGTTTTTTGTGAGAATAAGGATATGAAGGGAACAGTCAGAAAGGGTAGTGGATACATAGTGATTTCACTGATGTAGGGTTTCAGGTATTAGGGAAGAGGTGCAGATAGGGATGGAGTAAAATAAGTATCTGGGACTTTGTGGCTTCATAGGGATGAGAGTACCCACTATCATTGGTCATATATCACTTGACAGAATGTAATTTTGTCATTGTACAAACATCATGAAGTACCCGTACACAAACCTACCATGTACAGTAGAGCTTATCACATATATAGTCTGTATGTTACAGTCTAATGCTCCTTGGTCGTCATGAACAAAACAAGAACAGGAGAAAAATGATGCGTTCAAGAGACACAGTGAACACAAGATAGGTGAGGCTGCTGCTGGTGTAACACAGCATAGTGGTTATAGTCAACTTTTTTTTTTTTTTTTTGGTACTGGGGATCGAACTCTGGTCCTTG